TTTTCCTCTTGATTTCTCACCTTTTACTTCTTTCAGTTGGGTATGGAAATGCCAGGCATGTTGAGTAACTTGGGAGCCTCCAGTTCCCTTTCACTAAGCCAAAATTGCTGGACTGTGGCTTAATGGTGGTTCATAATTGTGATGCTTCAAGTAAAACAATTTAACTAGAGAGGAATGGATCAAGATCATTCTTGCAGCTTAACGGTGTCTTTCTGCAGCAAAATATGATTGCAGTTTTTGACTAGGATCTACATAATGGTTTGCAATCCAATGGCTCTTGTGAAGCCTTCAACAACAATATCCCAATTCTAGCAAGCTCTTCTTTGATTTCTTTTGATATTAAATACAACATAAGCCTGTTTAAATGCAACCACAAACTCAATCTCAGTGCCCCCACTGGTTTTATTAAACATCGTTATGTAAACTTCGATATCTATCAACACAGCCTGATCCTTGATCTTCAGCTTGACCGAAAAAGCCATTTCATAGCATGTTCAACTGCTCCCTAAAAAAGACCTGCCTGATAGCACAGACCCTCAAACGTTCTTATATGCCCAAATGGTTCTGGAGGTACGATTATCTGATGCTTGTGAATAGTGTCACAACAGAGGAGGCCAGTGTCAACTTGATGAAAACAATAACTTCTACTGCGCCAGAGGAGGCAAATTCTTTCAAAATTATAATTTTTTTAATGTTGGTTTGAGACAAATACTACCTCCAGTCTTTAATATAAGACTTCATTTGACTTTTATTTTGGTCCTACATATAATCCCTCAATCTATTTTATTTCTCATTTTTGTACATTTTTTCCTAAGTTAGTCCTTCTCATAATGGTAGTTGTAGCCAATACACTTGATTAGTAAGGATATTTTAAGAAAGACAATACCTATTTATTATAAATAAGTAACTTAACTTATTTCCTTAATCTTCTCAAATTAGTCAACTAGCTCTTATAATTAGGACCGGAGGTAGTATGTAACTTCCTAATTTATGTCTTTAATTTACTGTTAAGCACTTTTGGCTTCCAAGATCAAGTGATCTTTCTTGCTATCTACAGCAAAACTTCACCTTTCTTGCAACCTCCGTCATATGTTTCATATCCTCAAAATCGTATGTTAGAAAATGGAGTTTTTTTTTTTTGGTTGCTTTTATTGTTTTCGTTAAACACAATTAGATTTCATATCAAATAAGTTTGCAATGTTTTATGCGTATCCGATTGAGTTTGATTTATGCCAATACATTTCTTATCGTTGTGACTTCATTTCCTAAGATATATAGATGACACCATATTTCTGGTCCGTATAAAGAAGACAGACTTTTTCCCCCCTTGTGATTATAGAACTATATCAAACATTATTTCTCAATTTTTCTGAGATAAAGATCGAATCCTTTTCTGAAGGGTAACTAATTATTTTAATGTTAACTTTGGCTTAATTCTTCCTTGATTGCAGAGCGTAAGGGAAAAATTTTCAAGGTGATACTTGGAGTAGGTAATTTATGTAGTCATTTAATACATTTCATGCTTATAACGATGCTTATAACTTTCAAACTTAAAACTTACATCCATCCCTTTCGATTTTCATCTTCTTTTTGGCTATTTAGGAGGTCTTTGGATAAATCCAAATCATAGTTTGGAAAATAGTTTCTGAGAAATTAGTAATTTTAAGAGTTTGGATAGTTATTATCATAAGCATTTTTTATGTACAAATGACCAAAAAGTACATAAATTAATATGATAATTACATAAAAGATAGATTGTAATTTATAATTTCATTTGAAGTAATAAATTTGTTAATAATTTTTTTGCCAATATAGAAAATGAAATATAAAAAATATAATTAATCAATTATTAGTATGTGTATATATATTTATAAAATATAAGATTAAAAAATTTTTTACCTACGGAAAAACATATTTTACATAAAGATTACAAATATGAAATTCCATGATTTTTTTTACAAAATTGAATAAACACACATTAAAACAATTTATTATTTATTAAAATAATTAATAATTTGAAGGGTGAGGAGCTAGCGAGGAGATAAAACTAGTATTTTATTTCAATTTGAAGGGCATTTTTGTTCAAATACCATTGCATCTATTTTGACATCCATAATAATTACTCTAGCAACCAGCTGTTTAGCCCCAAGAGCAAAAATTTTTTGCTTTCTCCAAAACCATGGTTTGTGAGATTGAAACTGCGGTTTTGGTTCAAACCATAGTTTAGCAAAAAAATGAGGTGTTTGGATATTTTTGAGTCCAAATCATAGTTTGGGTTTTAAAAGTACTTTTTGAACAATTGTCAAACACTTGCTTAATTTCCATCAATTTACTACTTTTAGATAACAATTCACAACAACGATTTTTTTCCCAACTCATAAAACAAGTAGCCTACTTAATCCGTTTACCACTTATAAACATAGTCAAAAACGAGTCCTTACGGAAACAATAGGATAGCTAATCAATATTCATGTTACTTATTAAGTCATAAAATTTTGCATAATCTCACCTCTTCTAAATCTTATTGATCACAACTTCTGTAGTTGCAATACTAGGAGCTTTTGTTCTTATAATCTACTAGTTCAGAAGGACTTTATTTTAGAAAAACAAATCTAAAGCTCATCAAGATTTTGAAGCCTTTCTAAAGAGCCAAAGATCATTTGCCACAAAAAGATATAGCTACTTGAAGATAAAGAAAATCGCCAATTGTTTCAAAGAAAAATTAGGATAAGGAGGCTAGGGAACTGCGTTCAAAGGGAAGTTACATGATAAATGTCAAGTTGCCGTGAAGCTTTTGAACTAAACAAAAGGTAATGGAGAGAAATTCATCAATGAGGTAGCAAGTATAAGCAAGACTTCTCATGTTAACATTGTCACTCTTTTAGGATTTTGTTTTGAAGGGTCCAAGAAGGCACTCATTTATGAGTTTATGGCTAATGGGTCATCAGAGAAGCATCTTTGAAAATGAAGCAAACCTCCTTAATGGTAATCTCCAATTGACCTGTGAATTATTGCACCAAATTGCAATGGGTGTTGCATGAGGACTAAAGTATTTACACAAAGGATGTAACACTTGGATATCACATTTTGGCATAAAACCTCATAATATTTTGCTGGATGAGGACTTTTGCCCAAAGATCTCAAATTTTGGACTAGCTAAAATATGCGTAAGAAATGAGATCCTAAATCATGGGGATTTGATCAAATGCAGTCACTGCCACCATTTGAATCGTCCCGCTGCTTTTTCCAAACATGTCTGTTCTGACTTTGAAGTCTATTGGGAAGGCCCATCCAGGCGTAAACCTAACAATAATATTCAGGCACAACCTGGTTCTTTTCCTAATTGTTCATTTCTTGATCTTCCAAGTAAAGACATTTCTAATGCTAAATGACCATCTGTCCTTCTTGACTACTCAAATTGTTGTTCAAGTACGATTGTCTCATGACTGTGATAAGTGTTACAACCACTTGGGAGGCCAGTGTCTTCTTGACGCCAACAATAAGTTTTACTGCAAATATGGTAAAAGCCTTGTGCCTACAAGCACCCACACACACATAATAAATTTGATATATAAAATTAGTATATATACATCACAATTGTTGTTTAGCTGACTTCAAATGATGTCTTGTCTTAACTTGAGCTGCAGAGAACACAAGGAAGAACTACAAGCGGGGATTTGGACTTGGGATAGGAGGACGATGTGCACGCATGCTTTTTTATTTGCCCACGTATTTTAACGATTTAGTTTATCATACTTTACTGATATGTCAAATTTTCCTTCCTTCTCAAACTGGATCAGTAAAGAATTTAATAGAAACAGAGAAATTGAGACCCTTATTCACTTTTACAAGTGATGCTGATTTTGAATTTATTGTGCAAAAACAAGTTGAATTCGAACGTGTCCTGAGATGAACTAATTCCAGTCTTTACTGGAAGAAGATTCACAAATAATTAGTATTTTCAAAAGCTTTCATGTATATGCTATTAAAATTTTTATCTTCTACACTCCAGCCTTTACATACACGCTTTTACGTTGACTATTGAAAATTCTGAGATGAAGTTTGACTAGACATGATTATATTCTAACAAGAATCTCACAAAAAGAAGTTTGAAATTAATAAATTTCAAATAAAAATTTATATGAAAATGTATTGTTATTTGCAAGTTGAGTATTGTCAAAACTTATTAAAGTGTTATTATCAAATCTAATTTAGAATTTAGTAATCTCAAGTTTCTTCTTGTGGGATTCTCCTATAAATATATTTTCTATGATGCTAAAATAGAACATCATTTACCATAATGGGCCGGGCTTTATGAAAGCAATGTCCAGTTGGAATAAGCTCTTGGATGTGATCTGATCGTGCCGGCCCTCTTGTGCTTAGGGATCAAGTTGGGGTTAAATTCTCCTTAGCCTACTAGACGAATTTTCCTTCTTCTTCTCAAGTGTGCCAAAAGAAGTTATTTGTTCTAACCATGCCCTGTCCTTCTTAGTTCTCATTTCATCTTCTTTCATCCTATCTGTATTGCAAAGATCTTGAGTAACATATCAAAATGAGTTGTCATAAACCTAAGATAGTTGTATAATTGCAAAGAAACGATCGATGCGTCCAAATCTCAACACCTATTTGACGGCACAACGGTTTGGACCTGTTTTGAATGGGCCAACCAGGTTTATTCTTAAACGGGTCCACACTTGGGCCGTTTTAGTCCGCGAATAAGAAGAAAATTTCTGGTTGAAATTGTGACATGTAGAGGTTTCACTCTCTTTGCAGTTCATTGGAGTGTTGAAAAAGTCAGAGAACTAGAAAACAAAATCATAGACCTTGAACATTGACTTAAGACTTAACAAATGCGCGTGAGAAGCTTTTAAGGTGGAAAATGGGTGATGCTTAAACAAGATGGTACGTGTCTCTTTCTTTTATTTCCTGGCAAGCCCCTTCATGGAGTCTTCGCTGGTCATGTTCCAAGTCAACTGCATACGAAGCAGTTTGAGTAGGTGATGTATAAATGGGAAGACGGTTGAATCATAATTTAGAGAGACTCAGGATTTCATGGTTTAATTTGTTGCTTGAGGATGGCTTTAGTTTATGTGTTTCGTTTCGTCCAGCTTTTTCACTTTGTGCTTGTTCTTTCAGCTGGGTATGGATATGGGAAGCACGACGACAAGTGTCCTCCATCGTTTGATTGTGGAAATCTTGGGAGCCTCCGCTTCCCTTTCACCAAGCATGAACAGACGCACTGTGGCCTCTTCGCAGTACGTGGCTGTGATGGTCCATCTTTGAATAAAACGATTCAACTGCAAAAGAATGGAAGAACATTACAGCTTACTAATGTTGTTCAGCAGGAGAAACTCATCATCACAGTTTTTGACCCAGATCGTCATAGAACCTGCGATGTAGCTTCCAACTGTAACATGCTTTTTCCTCAAAATTCTCCCTTGGCTTCCTTTCGTTTTGAACACAACGTCGAAAGCCTGTTCAGATGCAAACATGACCTTCACTTTAGACCCCCCCCTTGGGTTTGATCAATCATGCCTGTCCTGACTTCGATGTCTTTTTTCACGACTTATCACAACACATGCCTCCTCCTTGTCCTCTTAATCTTGACCAGATGCTAACCTATTTACCTGATTGCTCCGTTCTTCCCCTTCCTTGTAAGAACCTGACATATACCTCAGATTTTTCATCATTCTTATGCGGTGAAGTAGATATTGAAGTGCACGTATCTGGTGATTGTGATAAGTGTTACAACCGGAAGGGAGGCCAATGTCAAGTTGACGGCAACAATACCTTCCACTGCCACATAGGCCACATAGGTATGTATGTGTGTGTGTGTATATATTTTGGGTGTACCTTTCAGGATGACCTTGTCTTTCTTTTGAGACACACACTCCCATACATACACATATATGTATATAAAATTCAAGTTATTTTCCTGTTATCATTGACGCAAAATAGATCGGCTTCCCCATATGGCTATGGTGAACATTATATATCTCTTGGCTTTGATGATTAAAACTGCGGACATTATATTATAGCCTTCTTCTCTATATCGTTGACAAATTTGATGCTGATGATACTTTATAATTGCTCAAGTGCTTTCTGACACCTGATTTATTCTCCATCTCGAGCTGTAGAGGACAGGCAGCCGAATTTGTGGTTTGGACTTGGGATTGGAGGTAATTTTGTTATAGTTATCTTTTAAAAGCTTTTTAAAGATCCTATCCATCATACTGCTATGTGAAATTCACAAGCATTCCTTCTCTATTGTTGTTGTTATTCAACCTTCTCATCATTACAATATTGTAGCAAAGAATTTCAACTGAGCTTATGAAGGAAAAGTATTTATGTACTTTTCTGGTGATGAAATTTTGACCTTTTTCCTCCCAAAGAATTTGAATCACAATTTATTGTACAACGACTGAAATATATATATTTATTTAAAGAAAAATAGTATTTCATTAATACCCATCTGATCTTATTTATAGGGCAAAGAGAGAAGACTTTTGTTTATCTTATTTATAGGGCACTTAGAGAAATTTTTCATAGGGATGTCCAATTTTACCCTTCATTTATTATTATGTTGATTTTGTTTACATTAGGTATAATGCATATTAAATAGGGATAAAATTGAAAAGTTGTTAAATTTTAAATGAGAATTAATGAAGTTTAAAGTTTTTTTGGTTTATGGGAAACATGTTGGAAGTGATTTATAAATAAGACTAAAGAGGCATATCTCTAGTTAATGATAAACCCATCCCTATTTTTATACTACTAAGAGAAGATTTAGGAAGAATTAGTATCTCCGGCACTTTTCATGAGCAAGGTGAACAAGTTACAAGATCATCTTCACCTTAGTTTTCAGGTACTCTTTTGGTCCTTAATATAAGACCCATTTAAATAATTTCATTAGATTAAGGAAGTTAAGTAAGTTAGTTAATTATAAGAAAAGTGATACATTTTCCCTAAAACATCATAATCATTTTTTTAATACCTCCTCTCTCTCTTCTAGTTGATTATGGTTGAGGGAGTATCTATAGGGGTAATTTAGAGAAAGTTAATAAATATGAGAAATGGGCCTTATATTTAGGACCAAAATCAACTCAAGAATTGGGTCCTATATTAAGGACCAGAGAAGTACAATGGATTATAATTTAGAAGTGGTCACATATAAAATGGGATTGATCTCGTATTCTGCAGGTTTATATATCGGACTGATATGCTGTCTAATCATAATTTGGCTGCAACGTAAGCAACATAACAGACATAAACATGCGTCTTCAAATGTCCAATTGCAATCAGCAAACAATGATGGAACTGTTCGTAATACTGATCTAGAAAGTGGCATGGCTTACTTTGGGATACCCATCTTCTCTTACGAGGAGCTTGAAAATGCAACAAATAATTTTGATCATTCAAGAGAACTTGGAAGTGGAGGCTTTGGCAATGTTTATCATGGTAATAATGCTTTTCTTCAATGAAACAATACAGACCATTACATTATTAACTGACTTGTATTGATCTTCAATAACCAGGAAAACTTCGAGATGGACGAGAAGTTGCAGTGAAGCGACTATATGATCATAATTACAGACGAATAGAGCAGTTTATGAATGAAGTAAATATCCTGACTCGCTTGCGCCATCGAAACCTTGTGTCTCTCTATGGCTGCACTTCCCGCCATTGCCGAGAACTTCTGCTTGTGTATGAATATATTCCAAATGGAACCCTTTCCTATCATCTTCATGATGAGCTAGCCAATCGTAGTTTACTTCCATGGCCGATAAGAATCAAGATAGCCATAGAAACTGCATCTGCATTAGCCTATCTTCATGCTTCTGACACCATTCATCGAGACGTCAAAACCAACAACATCCTCTTAAAAAATGATTTCTGTGTTAAGGGTGCTGATTTTGGGCTTTCAAGGTTGTTTCCCAATGATGTTAGCCATGTTTCTACTGCCCCACAAGGGACAGCTGGCTATGTTGACCCAGAATATTACTACTGTTATCAACTTACTAGCAAAAGCGATGTGTATAGCTTTGGGGTTGTGCTTATTGAATTGATATCATCTTTGCCTGCAGTTGACATCACAAGGAGTAAAGATGAGATAAACTTGGCTAGTCTAGCTGTGAATAAGATACAGAATAGTGCATTTAGGGAGCTAGTTGATCCTTGTCTTGGTTTTGAGTCAGATAGTGAGGTTAGGAGGATGATAGTCTCAGTTGCAGAGTTGGCTTTTCAGTGTTTGCAAAGGGACAAGGAATTGAGACCTTCCATGGATGAGGTTTTGCAGATACTAAGGAGAATAGAGAGTGGAAAGGAGGAAGAAAATTATGTAGAAGAAGTGGAAATCCATGGCGGCATCAATGGCATTTCATGCAGTGGCCCAATACTTCCACCATCACCACCTTCGCCAGATTCCGGTGAATCTATATTGTTAAAAACTCCAAAGTCACTGCCTCTGGCAACCAAAGCTCGCAACTCATAAATGTTATTAGGACCTAGTTAATGGCTTATATTTATTTGTTAATATATGATCATATCCGCCAAAGTATACTAATGGCGAGGCCGGCAGATGTAAACATTTTAAAGTACATTTTGTTTGTAAAAATAGTTTCAGTCTTTTGTATTACTATAAGATTAGGAGTTGTACTGTATGATAAATAATGCAATTTGTCGAATTTTTATATTTTATATTTAGATTAGTGTAACTAATTCAAATTGAGTGGAAGGAATACGTACATGAATTTAATGCTCTTCTCAAGAGATTTTTTTAATTATTATTACACAATACTACACTTCTACTTAAAAGAGAACAAAGTAAACATTAATCCACGATTATGCTTCAACAAAAATCCTACAAAAATAAATTTGAAATTAATAAATTTTAAATAAGAAATTTCTACAAAAAAGTATTGTCAAAACCTAGTAAAATGTTATTATCAAATCTAATTCAAAATTTAGTAATTTTAAACTTCTTTTTGTGGGATTCTCCTTTGAGTATATTTTCAATGATACTAAAATGGAACATCAATTAGCATAATGGGCTGGGCTTTATGACAGCAGTGCCCAGTTGGAATAAGCTCTCGGATGTGATCTAATCATGCTGGCCCTCTTGTGCTTAGGGATCAAGTTGGGCTTAAATTGTAATTAAGCTACTAGACGCATTTCCTTTCTTCTTCTCAAGCGTACCGAAAGAAGTTATTTATTCTGACCATACCTTTCCTCTTGTCCTTCTCAGTTCTCATTTCATCTTCTTTCATCCTATCTATGTTGCATAAGTCTTGAGTAGCATATCAAAATGAGTGGTTATAAACCTAACGTAGTTGTATAATTGCAAAGAAACGATCGATGTGCCAAAATCTCAACATCTATTTGACAGCAAAAGGGTTTGGACCTGTTTATTCTTAAACGGAGTCCACACTTGGGCCGTTTTAAAAGAAAATTCCTAGGTGAAATTGCGACAAGCAGAAGTTTCACTCTCTTTGCGGTTCATCGGAATGCTGAACAAGTCATAGAACTAGAAAACAAAATCAAAGACCCTGAACATTGACTTAACAAATGTGCGTGAGAAGCTTTTAAAGGGTGATTGGAAATTAATTAAGGTGGAAAATAGGTGACACTTAAACAAGATGTTGCGTGTCATCATATGGCCATCCTATGCTTTATTTTATTGTCTCTCAAGTCCTTTTCATCAAGTCTTCCGCGGTCATATTCCAAGTCAACTGCGTATGAAGCAAGTTGAGTAGGTGATATATAATGGGAGGACAGTTGAATCATAATTTAGAGAGACTCAGGATTTCATAGTTTTAATTTGTTGCTTGGGTATATGGCTTCACTCCCTGTGTTTCGTTTCCTCTTGTTTCTTCACTCCGTACTTGTTCTCTTCGCTGGGTATGGAAATGGGAAGCATCGTGAGAAGTGTTCTCCATCCTTTCAGTGTGGAGATCTTGGGATCCTTCGCTTCCCTTTCACCAAGGATGAATTGCCACACTGTGGCTTCTTCGCCATACATGGCTGTGACGACCATGATCCATCTTCGGATAAAACGATTCAACTGCAGAAGAATGGAAAACCATTGCTGCTTAAAGAGGTCGTCCCTCGTCAGCAGCATCATAACATCAAAGTTACTGTCCAAGATCAACCTGAGCGTTTCAAATCTCGAACCTGTGAAGTTTTCGACCATGATGATGCAGATCTAATTCCTCTGAATTCTCCTATGCCTTCATCTCAAATCAAATCCAATTTCACATGCAACCTAGAGCACCACATGATGCGTCCCCATGCCTGTCCTGGCTATCATGACTATTGTGACCAGTTACGTGGTGCTCCTCCTCCTCCTAACTTGGCACGGAGCTCTCTCCCAGCATGGTCCACTCTTCGGCTTCCTTGCAAAGACGTGTCCTATACCAAAGACCTTTGGTTCTCATGTGGTGAAATAGTTATTGAAGTAGAATTACCAGTTGATGATGACTGTGACAAGTGCAACCAGATCGGAGGACAATGTCTAGTTGACGACAACTACTATTGCGATACAGGTGTGTGCCCAAACACAAACACGCACTCCAGCAACATCCCTTTTATCTATGCTTTCCATATATCTGATGAATTCCTTGTCTTTCTTCATTCATTTATGTGACTTGCTCCTTGTTTTTTGCGCAATATTCTCGGTATAAATCTAGTGAGAATCTCATGCACTGTTTTTTGAGTATTCTTTCTTTTGGTTTTCTGGTGTACCTTTCAGGATGGCCTATTGCCTTTTTTTAACATACGCGCATATTCAAGTGATTTTCATCTTATCATTGGCATAAACTTGCCTTAGCTTTGATGATTAAAACAGTGGAGCCTTAACAAATTTGATGCTGATACTTTACATATAACTGCTCAAGTGATTTTTGACACATGATTTATTTTCTCATCTTGAGCAGCAGAGAAGGACCACGGGCTGCTGAAGTTGGGGTTTGGACTTGGGCTTGGAGGTAATGTTATAATTTACACTATAAAAGCTTTTTAATGATTCCGTCTGCTGCTACGCCAAATTCAATCAAAATTTATCAAGCACCAGCTAAAATATAATTTTTTCGAGGAAAAAAAAAATATTTCATTAATATATCCGGTTAATGATAAACCCATCCCTATTTTTATACTACTATAGGAGAAGATTTAGGAAGAATTAATATCTTTGAGACCTTTCATGTGCATGGTGAACAAGTACTTAATTACAAGATTATATTCAATCTCGTTTTCAGGTATAATAAACTATAATTTAGAAGTAGTCACATATAAAGTGGGATCTTGGACTAGGTAATTTACACAACCATTTAGTTCGTTTGATGCTTATAACTTTTAAATTTTAAACTTATATCCATCCGTTTTGAGTTTCATCTTCTTTTTTAGCTATTTAATTTCCATCAATTTATCACTTTTAGATGATAATTCACAACAGAGATTTTCTTTTCTTTTGGATCAAGTCATAAAACAATTAGTCTATCTAATCAATTTACCACTTATAAACATAGTTGAAAGAGTCTTTCCGGAAACAATAGGATAGCTAATCAGTGTTTATGTTACTCATTATTACCATAAAATTTTCCATAATTCCACCTCTTCTAATCTTATTAACCATAGTTTCTGCAGCTGTAATAGTGGGAGTTTTTGTTCTTATAATCTACTTGTTTAGAAGGACATTATTTTGGAAAAACAAATCTAAAGCTCATCAAGATTTTGAGACCTTCCTAAAGAGTCATGGATCACTTGCCACAAAAAGATATAGCTACTCGGATATAAAGAAAATGACCAGTTGTTTCAAAGAAAAATTGGGGCAAGGAGGATATGGAAGTGTGTTCAAAGGGAAGTTAATGGACAAATCTATAGTTGCGGTGAAGGTTTTGAATGAAATGAAAGGCAATGGAGAGGAATTCATCAATGAGGTAGCAAGTATAAGCAAGACTTCTCATGTTAACATCGTCACTCTTTTAGGATTTTGTTTTGAGGGGTCCAAGAAGGCACTTATTTATGAGTTTATGGCTAATGGGTCATTAGAGAAGTTTATCTTTGAAAATGAAGCAAACCTCCTCAATGGTAATCTCCAACTAAGCTGTGAAATATTGCACCAAATTGCAGTAGGTGTTGCACGAGGATTAGAGTATTTGCACAGAGGATGTAACACTCGGATATTGCATTTTGACATAAAGCCTCACAACATTTTGTTGGATGAGAACTTTAACCCAAAGATCTCAGACTTCGGACTAGCTAAAATATGCCTAAGAAATGAGAGTGTTGTATCTATGACAGGTGCTAGAGGAACCATAGGCTATATTGCCCCCGAGGTAGTTTCTAGGAATTTTGGAGTTGTCTCTCAAAAGTCAGATGTTTATAGCTTTGGGATGATGATTTTTGAAATGGTTGGGGGAAGAAGGAATGTCAATGTGAATGTTGATAATAGCAGTGAAATATATTTTCCTCATTGGATTTACAAGCGTATAGAATTGAATGAAGACCTTACGCTAAGGAGTATTAGAAATGAAGGTGACAAAGAGAGAATAAGACAGATGGTGATAACTAGCTTATGGTGCATACAAACAAACCCTTCAAAGCGTCCAATGATGAGTAAAGTGGTGGAGATGCTTGAAGGAAGAGTTGAGACCTTGCAAGTTCCGCCAAAGCCTTACTTATCATCTCCTTCAACATCACCACGCTCTTCATCTTCCTCAACTCACTGACTCCATAGTGTTTATGCTATGGGGCATTTTCATCAAGTCATGATTACTCAAAGGCCCATATGTTTTTGATTCTGTGCATGCTTGTTATTTTTTGATAAGACTATGCTAATGCATTGAATTTTGCCACGTAATGCTTGTGGACTTGTATTGTGGCCTTTTTTTTTGTCTATATTGTTAATTTATATCATTCCTTGGTAATGTTTTTATGAATGCTTGTTAGTTTATGATAAGATCTCTACTATTAGGCTTTTTCATTAATGCTTGAGACTCTGTCTGGGGCTCATATGTTTCTATTTCTGTGCATGCTTCTTATTTGATTGCATGAGTGTCAAAAAAAGTGATGAATTGTGGATGTCAAAGCTAACCAACTATATTGTATTTGATTTAACATTTGCTTTCATCAAATACCATACTTTTTTGTGGTTTTGAACATGAAGCCAAATACAACAAGTTAAACTTTGATTATTGACGTACAAAGATAAAAGTTGGCTATGACTTGTGCTTGAGTTGTAAAATCTATAAGACCGAAAGAATACATTTCACATCTAATTTGATTGTGTCTATTAAGAGAGCCACCCTAGTGTGTTTTAACCTAAGATTATAAGATGAAGCTCAAAATACCTATTAACATGAACAAGGAAGAATCTTGGAAATACTAACGAGGTCTCTAGGAAAATTCAGAACATGCCAAAGATTTTTACAAGCAAAAAGTGATTTTGGTGGGCAGAGAGGTCCCCAAAAAAAAGCATTGCCCGTTGATTAATTATAATTTTCTAACGTCTTAAAAAGAAAAAGTTTTGCAATGTTACATATTTATTGTTTTATGGTTCTATACTTGATAAGCATTCCATACAATTATGACCCTATTTTGGCAGCATGAAGCATAACTAGCTCAAACAAAATTTAATTTCCTTATCAATGATTTTGTTATCCGTAATGATCTTAAGTTTGCCCCCTTCTAAGTGGTTTAACCAGTCTTCACCTTTAATTTCCAAGTTAACACTCATTGCAATAAAGACCTCCATTAATTTTAGCCCCTACTTATGTTCTAGTGGTGACTAATAGTCATGGTATGGAGAGCCTCGACCAGGTTAGAATTCATAGAGTGACACTTTTTGAAACATGGTCCTTCACTAAGCACACAAACACAGGAAAACCTTCTAACAGTTAGACATTGAAGTCTAAAGGAAAAAGAAGTATTATCTGAGAGAGGAATGTCACCCCATGTTTCCATGTTGTTTATTCTAAACTAAACCTTTTGCTCTTTTTCCAAAATGTTGTGGGTTCTTAGAACCTGAACTTCCAAGCTCGCAAGTGCAAAACTCACTGTATGAACCCTCTTATTGTGTAGTTTCTGTGGTCTTTTCAGCTGATTCTTTTAGAGTTAGAGAGAGGTGTGCAAGCATAACTTCTATATCAGACTCACTAGTTCCACTTCTAATAGCTATATCTTTTCCATCTATTAGCTGACTTGACAAAGCCATAAAGAAAGAACAGAAATTACATCTTGAATTTAATTTTTTGAACGGCATGCAGCTTTGAAAATATGAGATTTTTGGAGGGTCTAGGATTCAACAGGACAACCTGAAAAGTTTACTTTGTCTTCTTTGCCAGAATAATCAACATAACTTTCAACAAGCCCTATTGCCTACCTATTTTCGTTCAGGTCACCTTCACAAAGTCTTGCTTGGTAATTTATCAACACAACCTGCACCATCAAACAGTTCAAATGGGAACTACGAATTAGATACTACTATTAAATGAGGCTCTTGTCAGAGGCCTTTATTGTTTTGCTCAAAAGTTACTTAATTATGGCTCTGGTTTTTGTTTTTTTCCCCTCCTGATTTCTTACCTTTTACTTCTTTCAGTTGGGTATGGAAATGCCAAGCATGTTGAGTGTCCTTTATCTTTTGATTGAGGAGAACTTGGGAGCCTCCAGTTCCCTTTCACCAAGCTAGAATTGCTGGACTGTGGCTTAATGGTAGTTCATAACTGTGATGCTTCAAGTAAAATGATTGAACTAGAAAAGAATGGATCAAGATCATTCTTGCAGCTTAACGGTGTCTTTCTGCAGCAAAATATGATTACAGTTCTTGACCAGGATCTACATAGTGGTTTGCAGTCCAATAGCTCTTATGAAGCCTTCAACAACAATATCCCAATTCTGCCAAGTTCTTCTTTGATTTCATTTGATATTAAATACAACATAAGCCTATTTAAATGCGATCACAAACACAATCTCATTGCCCCCACTGGTTTTATTAAACATCCTTGTGTAAACTTCAATATCTATCATTACAGCCTAATCCCTGATCTTCAGCCTGACCGAAAAGCCATTTCACAGCATGTTCAACTCTTATGCTCCCTAAAAAAGACCCGCCTAATAGCACGGACCCTCAAACGTTCTTATCTACCCAAATGACTCTGGAGGTATGATTATCTTATGCTTGTGAACAGTGTCACAACAGGGGAGGCCAGTGTCAACTTGACGAAAACAATAACTTCTACTGTGCTAGAGGAGGTATATTCTTTCCAAATTATAATCTTTTTTAATGTTGGTTTTTGAGACAAATATGTAACTTCCTAATTTATGTCTTCAATTTACTATTAAGCACTTTTTGCTTTCGAGATCAAGTGATCTTTCTTGCTTTCTACAGTAAAACTTCACCTTTCTTGCAAGCTCGATCATATGTTTCATGTCCTTAGAATCATATATTTGAAAATAGAGTTTTTTTTTGTTGCTTTTATCATTTTTGTTAAATACAATTAGATTTCATATCAAATAAGTTTGCAATGTTTTATGTGTGTTCGGTTGAGTTTGGTTTAAGGAAAAAATATCATGACATTTCTTATCTTTGTGACGTTATTTCCTAAGATATACAGATGACACCATGTTTCTGGCTTGGATAAAGAAGATGGACATTTTTTTTTCTTTGTCATTATAGAACTATATCAAACATTATTTCTCAATTTTTCTAAGATAAAAATCGAATCATTTTCTGAAGGGTAACTAATTATTTTAATGTTAACTTTGGCTTAATTCTTCTTGATTGCAGAGCATAAGGGAAAAATTTTCAAGGTGATACTTAGAGTAGGTAATTTACATAACCATCTACATTTCATGCTTATAACTCTCAAATTTAAAACTTACATCCATCCGTTTTGATTTTCATCTTCTTTTTTCGATCAATTTACCACTTTCAGATAACAATTCACAACAACGATTTTTTTCCAACTCATAAAACAAGTAGCCTACTTAATATGTTTGCCAGTTATAAACATAGTTGAAAAAGAGTCCTTATAAAAGCAATAGGATAGCTAA